AAAAAAAAAAAAAAAAAAGAGAGAAAGAAGACAGCAGGGGTGAAGAGAAAGGAGGCGACGTAGGGAGAAAGGAAGGAGAAGGGTGGTGAGGAAGAAGAAGCCGGCAGCCATAGCTGACCGGGCGTTGACCGGGGGAGCTGACCGGGTGTTGACCGGGGTTGGCAGGCGCTGACCGGGGGTTGACTGCAGCGCTGACCCAGCATTGACCAAGGCCGTTGACCACGAGTTTGACCAAGCTGGAGCCGGTATAATCTCGCCAAGCCTTCAGCCTATCCCCTCGCCCTATGGATGTGCACACACCCTGTGGTACTTGCTGAGTCAAGTCTGTCTGTCTCTTCTTTCTGCATTGAGTCTCTTCTGTCCAGGTGATAGGAACTCTGTGGATGAAGGATAGGGCCTTGTTGACCAAACCCACACGGGCTGAGTAGGGCTAAAGACTGTGTCTGACGACTCGACTGTCCCGGAGGACACGAACCCTCCCAAGGACCGGTACTGACCGGCGGCTGCTCGGTGTGGCACGGTAGGCCCAAAATCCGAGCTGTGGGCTGCACAACAGGCCGTCTAAGTCTTGAGAAGAACTGCTGATCGCGTCGTCCTGTCTGCGACGTTAAATAATTCCTGAGGAGTTACGGGGGATCTCCTTAAATGCCTCCTGATCAGCAATAGGTCTTGTAGTGACAGCCTTAGAATAGGTCTAGGCCAGAGACCCTAGTTGACAGGATCCTCTCCGGATTTTGTAAGTCCTTAGATTGAGTCAGTAGGTGTGTCAGCCAGGGGGAGTAGAGTCTAAGTGGTGAGGAGTGGAACAGCTGTCTGGTTGTGCACCTTTCACCATGGTTGACACAAGTAGTGGGAATAGTACTGCCCCCTCCGAGGCCGAGCAGGCCCGGATTGCCGCCCTTTTGAGAGAGAAAGGAGAAGAAAGAACTCCTTAAGCAGGGAAAGTTAAAGGCCATTGCACAGGAGCAGGCGGCGAAGAAGAAGAGATTAGAAGAAGAGATGATGAGATTCCAGAAGGAGAAGATGATGATGTTAGAGAGGGAGGAAGAAGAAAGGAGGAAGGCTGCCGAAGAAGAAGCAGCAGCAGAGGAGGAAGAAGAAGAAGAAAAAGAGCCCCTTGAAAGAAGGCATGGGGAAGAGAGAGGAGAAGCAAGTGGCACGAAGGAGGAGGACAAATGGAGGGAAAAGAAGATTAGTGAATGGGTGGCTAATTTATCATTGGGAGAAGATGAAGAAGCACAGTTATATGTGTCGCAGGAGAGGGAGGCGTTTGCCAGGGCCCTGGAGCTGATAGAGGATCCCCTGGAACGCCAGGTGACAGAGGACGAGAAGAAGTTGGAGTGGAAGTTGAAGATGATGAGAGAAAAGAAGAGGAGGAGGGAGGAAGCCAACAGAATAGCCGGGGAGGTTGAGCGAGTGCGAACCGGCAGGCAGGAGTTGCAGGCCCAAACAGAGATCCCTGCCAAGTTAGATAAGACGATGGGCTTCTTGGAAGTTTTGAGTGAGACCTGGCTGGAGGAGCACCAGGCCCGTAAGGGTCAAGAGGTGACCTCGCAGGCAATGCGATCCGGGTTCAAAGAATTTGTGAACGACGTGGTGACCCATGTCGGGACCGAAATTAGAAGATTGAGGAATGGAGTAGACAAATTTTGCACAGGCGCCATTGAGAGCGCCAAAGTGGTGGCCACAGTAGAGGCCACAGCGCGTCCCCGCAAGGAGCCGGTTAAGCTAAAATTCCCTGACTCGTGTAGCGGGAAGGAGGAGGATAATTTTGATAACTGGGAGGCCAGTATAAACACATATGGCTATTTACAGCATATTGGCCCCGAGGAACAAGTCCTCGTCGCCTTCCATGCCTTACAAGACGAAGTAGCCAGCTTCGCCAGGTCCCTCGCACGTGCCACAGATTGCGAGCACAATATGATCGCATATTCTAGGCTTACCCCCCCTCGCCACTTTCCTCAAACTCCTGTGCGAGAGGTTTGTTGACGTCACAAGAGGTGTCAGGGCCTCTCATAAGTTACAAACCATCCATTCGCGACAGTGGAGGAGTGCGAGAGCACTCAAAGCTCTCATGGACGACTTGGTATCCGTCCTGGACCACGGGGTCACTGAGACCCAGCTGGTCCAATTGTTCTATTGTGCCATGTCAGAGCCCTTACGAGGGCATTTCTTTGACAAAACCCAGCAGGCCAATGTCACGTACGATGCATTGAGTCGAGAGGTGTTCCTGTTTGAGGCGAGGTCTATGCCAGTTTCCACTTTCTGGCATAAGGACCTAGACAAGGGAAAGAAGTGGAAGGGTACATCTCAGGCCAAGTTAGGGCCAAGGATCATTTGATCCTTACTTTAGACGAAGGTGGTATTGACGAGGTCCCCTACAGTCAAATTGAGTGGGGCCTCGAGGAGGAGGACAGTAACATAGGACAAGGGAGGTCCTATGCAGCTGTCGCAACTGGAGGGAGGCCGCAAAGTAGAGGAGGAGGCCAGTGCCAAAGGGGCCAGGCCATCATAGGCCGAGGATCAGGCACTCAGGGGGTTGGCGGCCAAAGGAACCGCCAAGAGGGGGGTAGGGGTCAAGGTCCCCCGCCAAATCGTCAAGGTCCCAGTCGCTCAACGTAGAGACGAGGTGGAGGATCACCTCAAAGGAGAGGAGGTTGGCACCCAGGTTGGCCGCAAGGCCGGCCCTAGGAAGATCTGGGCCTAGATCAAGAAGTTTGGCCACAACGTATGGAGCAGGGGCAGTGCATCTATTGTGGTGAACATATTATTACAATATTCTTAATTCTATACTCTTAATTTATTGTATTTGTCTTGTATATTTTATCTTGTATGTACATATCTCTT